AACCAACCACAGCTCATTGGTGGGACCACCTGGGACCTCATGGTGGGACCAAACAGAACATCATGGTGGGACCAACCGGGACCTTGTCATGAGACCAACCAGGACCTCATGGTGGGACCACCTGGGACCTCATGGTGGGACCAACCAGGACCTGGTGCTGGAGCCAACCACAGCTCATTGGTGGGGCCAAGCAGGACCTCATGGTGGGACCAACCAGAACCTGGCACTGGAGCCAACCACTGCTCATTGGTGGGACCAACCAGGACCTCATGGTGGGACCAACCAGGACCTCATGGTGGGACCATCCAGAACATCATGGTGGGACCAACCAGGACCTCATGGTGGAACCAACCAGAACATCATGGTGGGACCAACCAGGACCTCATGGTGAGACCAACCAAGGCCTCGTGGTGGAACCATCCAGAACCTCATGGTGGGACCAACCACAGCTCCATGGTGGAACCATCAGGAACTTCATGGTGGGAACATCCAGGACCTCTTGGATCCCCAAAACTCTCAAATCTCAAACTTTTATCCCAAAATTCCTCAAAATTCCCAGATTTTTCCAGGAATTCTGGAATCCTGATCCCCAAAACCCCAAAATTCCCAGATTTTTTTCCCGAATTTCATCATTTTGACCCAAAAAAAACCCCAAATCCCAAACTTTCACCCCAAAATTCCCAGATTTTCTCCCAGATTTCACCGTTTCGATCCAAAATAAAACCCCCCAAATCCCAAAGTTTTATCCCAAATTCCCAGACGTTTTCAGGAATTCTGGAATCCTGATCCCCAAACCCCCCAAATTCCCAGATTCTTTCCTGGATTTCACCGTTTCCATCCCAAATAAAACCACAAATCCCAAACTTTTATCCTAAAATTCAGGGATTTTTTCCTGGATTTCATCATTTTGACCCCCAAAAAACCCCAAATCCCAAACTTTCACCCCAAAATTCCCAGATTTTTTCCCAGATTTCACCATTTCCATCCCAAATAAAACCACAAATCCCAAACTTTTATCCTAAAATTCCGGGATTTTTTCCTGGATTTCATCATTTTGACCCCCAAAAAAACCCCAAATCCCAAACTTTCATCCCCAAATCCCGGGGTTTTTTTCCGGGCACACATTCCCACCGTTCCTGCTCAGGATCCCGGCCGCCCGCAGCATCCGGCCCTGGATCCGCGCCCGCTCCCGGAGCTCCTGGAACGGCCGGGAGGCGGAAAATCCCTCGGGAATGGCGATTCCCAAGGAATGGGCGCGACGGCGGCAGCCGGAATCCAGCTCCGAGAGCAGCTGGAAAAAACAAGGAGAGAGGAGGGAGGAATTCCGGGATGGGAAAGGTTGGGAATGAGGGAAATTCCCCATGGGAAAAGTTCTGGGATCTGGGAAATTCCCGGTGGGAAAAACCCAAGAAATTGGGGAAATTCCCAATGGGAAAAGTTCTGGGATCTGGGAATTTCCCATTGGGAAAGTTCTGGGATCTGGGGAAATTCCTGGTGTGAAAACCCCAAGAAATTGGGAACTTCCCAATGGGAAAAGTCGTGGAATCAAACTGGGAAATTCCTGGGGGAAAGGTTGGGAATGTGGGAATTCCCGGCTGGGAAAAACCCAAGGAAATGGGGAATTCCCCCATGGGAAAAGTTCAGGAATTGGGGAAATTCCCATTGGGAAAGTCATGGAATCAAACTGGGAAATTCCCCATGGGAAAATTTCTGGAATCTGGGAAATTCCCCATGGGAAAATTCCTGGGATCTGGGAAATTCCTGGTGGGAAAAACCCAGGGAAGGGGGGAATTCCCCCATGGGAAAAATTCTGGAATTTGGGGAAATTTCCCATGGGGAAAATTTCTGGGATCTGGGAAATTCCCCAGTGGGAAAAATCCATGAAATTGGGGAAATTCCCATGGGAAAAGTTCTGGAATCGAACTGGGAAGTTCCCATTGGAAAAGTCATGGAATTGGGGAAATTTCCACTGGAAAAGTTCTGGAATCGGGGAAATTCCCCAGTGGGAAAAAACCCAAGAAATTGGGAAATTCCCAGTGGGAAAAGTTCTAGAATTTTGGGAAATTTCCATGGGAAAAATTCTGGGATCTGGGAAATTCCCAGTGGGAAAAGTCAGGGAATCTGGGAGATATTCCAGTTGGAAAAGCCCCAGAATCCAGGAAAAATCCTGGTTGGAAAAATCTCAGAATCCAGGAAAAATCCTGGCTTGAAAAGCCACGAAATCCGGGAAAAAATTCCCATTGGAAAAGTCCCGGAACCTGGGATAAATCCCAGCTGGAAAAGCCCAGGAATCCGGGAAATTCCTGGTTGGAAAAATCCCGGAATCCGGGAAATTCCTGGTTGGAAAAATCCCGGAATCCGGAAAATTCCTGGTTGGAAAAATCCTGGAATCCAGGAAATTCCCGGCTGGAAAAGCTCCGGAATCCTCCGGGAACGGCGACTCCCAAGGCCTGAGCGCCTTTTCCCGGGAATTGCTCCCAAAATCCCGGAAGGGGAATTTGTCCCGTGGGAATTCCGGGGTTTTTCCTGGGGCGGTTCCCGGGGAAAGAATTCCCGGAATTCCCACCTGGCTGAGGGTGATGTGGCCGCGCGAGGCTCGGGAATACGGGCTCTGGGATCCGCCGGAGAACAGCGCGTCCCGCAGGAAATTCCTGCCGGGAACAGCCGCGCTGGGAATCCCAGAGCACAAATCCCTGATCCCAAATCCCTGAACCCTGATCCCTGAGCCCAGATCCCTGATCCCTGATCCCTGATCCCAAATCCCAGATCCCAAATCCCTGATCCCAAATCCCTGATCCCTGATCCCAAATCCCAAATCCCTGATCCCAAATCCCAAATCCCAGATCCCTGATCCCAAATCCCAGATCCCAAATCCCAAACCCCAAATCCCAAAATCCCAAATCCCAAAACCTCAAATCCCAAATCCAAATCCCAAACCCCGAAATCCCAAATCCCAAATCCCAAATTCCCAATTCCAAACCCCAAACCCAAATCCCAAATCCCAAAATCCCAAACCCCAAATTCCCAATCCCCCATCCCCAGATCCCAAATCCCAATTCCAGGGAAACTGAGGCAGAAATCCTGGTTGTGGGTGCTGCCTGAGGAATTCTGGGAATCGCGACTCTCGGGATCGATCCAAACAAATCCCGGGAAT